AGCGTGCTGGCAGCGGAGCTAGCCTTTGATTTACAGATATCGGCTGGTGACTGGTGGAAGAGTCACTTCGGCATGGGAGAGAACATCTCCGCATTCCGGGAAGTGATGGTGGAGGGTAGAGTGCAGGTGGCGTGACAAGTCATAGAAACTATCGAGCTAAGGTCATGATGAGACCTGACCAGTGTGGCGGTGCTGACACATAGTTAGAAGATGAGACCCGAGGCGGGTATTATCCTTCAGATCAACTAAGGAATACCGCCCTTCGATTCGTCCATGCAAAGCGTCGGATTAACGATCGAGTGGGCTCTTGGTGAGTCGTATTCGAGAGAAAGTCGACTGATCCCGCTTTTCAAGTCGACATGGATAGCATAGATTCGACGAGTTGACAGAATAGGAACTTCTGCTGGTGTTAGGCCGTCAAGTTAATTAGGGCCGTTCTTTCAGAAATGTGTCCACCCGTCCTTTGTCTATGCTTTGCATATGTTTGGCAAATGGGAACACCATAACACTTGATGCCTAAGAAATAACAAAGAAAGCTAAGATCTTTCATCACCAACTGCCTGCAGAGATTCCGCTTCAAGTAGGCAATTGTGTCTTTATGATGTAGGACGTTTAAGAGACAATTTCATGAAGAAGTCGGACAATCACGAGCTAAATATAGATTTATACATATTATTGGCTTCTGCAAAGAAACAATCATATCTTCAAACTCGGAAGATGGATTCTGACATATTGTAAATCGCCTATCTCGACGAGACGAAGCCAATCAGATTATCAGATTTTTTAAAATCTCATCAGTAATACCTAGTTTTGGCTAAAATTAAAAAATAATAAGCTTTTAGTTTATATTTAATAATAAAGTTGGAGTCTATTTAGATTAGAAAATAAATTCAATATTAGAGTCAAATTAGATTAGGAAACATAAAGTTGGAGTCTATTTAGATTAGAAAATAAATTCAATATTAGAGTCAAATTAGATTAGGAAACAAATTTAATTTTAATTCATGATTTGTTTAGAAAATAAATTCAATATTAGAGTCAAATTAGATTAGGAAACAAATTTAATTTTAATTCATGATTTGTTTTCTCTATTAAAGGGAGTCTTTTTAGAATAGAATTTGATACTTTTTATTTCTTTGTAATTCTAGTCTTACTAGGAGTCTTATTTATTTTTTTCTATTTAAGAAGAATAATGTAACCCTAAAGAATAATAATCTTTTTATCAATAAAATTCATCTTTAATAGTTTCTTCGTAGATTCGAAGCTATTTGTGGATTCAAAAATCATTCTTTGTGGATTCAGAGAATAACCCTTAGTGGATTCTGAGATTTTTAACTTTCGCGCTGCGTTACTATATCATCCTAAGCAATGATCATGTCATCCAAATTGAAGAGGAGAATTACACGACCCTTGGAGGAGGAGTGATAGAATTCAGCAAAACTTTTTGTAAACTGGGCTATGGAAAGAGAATGGTGGAAGCGTTCACACTGAGAATGAGACACTTGTTTGAGACTATAAATAGCTTGATGAAGACAACAAACATGACCAGGAGTAGCTTCAACAACAGGAGGATGATTCATGTAAACTACTTCAGAAATGTCACAATTAAGAAACGCATTCTAAACATCCATCTGATATAAGGATTAATTTTGAGTAGCAGCAACAACAATGAGTGTTTAAATAGATGTCTTGTTTGTTACGGGAGAAAATATTTCTTCATAATCAATGTAATATTCTTGAGAGAAGCTGCATGTCACAAGACGATTTTTGTAGCATTCATTATAGATCTATTTGCAACTGATGGACCGTACACCGGGGGGTAGCGGTACAAGATCCTAGGTATGGGTACCGTGGAAAACCTCAAGTTCTTCATGCATAGCTTGTTGCCGCTTTGGATATTTTACTACCTTAGTATAAGAGTTACGTTCCTGTATAGAATGAATGGCAAAAAGAAAGAAGCAATGGAGAATAATAATTTATTATTGAGCAACTACAGCTGGTAAGAGGGCATCAGTCTCTTACAAGATTGGGACATGAGAAGGAGGATTAGCCTGAGAAGTAGGAGGAGTACAAAAACCATCACTCTGAATCTCAAGTATCGGATTCATGTTCGGACACCCATTTGTGGGCAATGGAGTAGATGTGGAATCTACTATATGTCTTCTAGAAGTACATTTTGGAAATGGGTATGGGATACAAATACAATTGTGGTGGGAGGCTCTGGAGATGTAAGAAGAGGTGTTGGAGCTGCAAGAGTTGGTGCATGAGCTATAGGTACAGATGTTGTAGCCACGGGAATTGATGCTGGAGTTGTAGGAACATGTGTTATAGCTGTAGGAATAGGCGTCGGAGCTATAGGAATGGGTAGTAGAAGGAAAGATAATTTGAAATTGGATGCAGCATAGGGGTGCATTCGGTGCGGATATGGCTCGGATATGATACTTATCATATCCAATATTCCGCTTACCCACCTCGGATACGGATACGGATAAACCTCGGTAAGAAAAATTCATATCCATATCCGCTAAAATCGGATACGGTTACGGATATACATACAGATATATATGCGGATACAAAATGGATATGAGAAAACTAGATAGTATTTGAAAAATATAGTTCTTGTGATACAAAAAAGTTCGTGAATATGTTCATTGTAACTGAAAAGTTAATATCAGACATCTTGATCCTCAAAATTAACCATAAATCCATAATCTAAGAATTAAAACTATCGTAAGAGTATGACTAATATGTATTTGAATATATTGGATACGGGTTCAGATATTTTACTCAAAACCATATCCATAACCATATCCAGTGGCATAGCCAGAATTTTTTTTTCCCTAGACGAAAAAATAACAAAGCAAAAAACAATTAAACAAACTAAGAGGGCTTTGATTTAGATATTGATAAAAAAATACAAAGTTGTATCATACACATTCAAAATATAAGATACACCAGAAACAGAAGTATTTAAATAAGTCGAGCTCTACGAGTATGTCGTGAACCAAACTCCTCTACTATTTCTTCTGTGTCGAGGCTGGAAGTAATTTCTTTTTCAATATAAAGTATTATGTTATTAGCAAGCAATTCATCTCCCATCTTGTTGCGCAATGATGTTTTTATGAGTTTCATTGCCGAAAATGCTATTTCCGTACTTGCAGTCGAAACAGGAAGAGTCAACACGAGCCGGATCAACCTATCAATAAGAGGATACCTTTTGGATTTTCTTTTACTTACCAACTTTTGGCATAATCCTGAGAGTGTAGTAATATTTTAAAAATCAGGATCACACCGCATCTTTACTTACCAACTTTTGGCATAATCCTGAGAGTGTAGTAATATTTTAAAAATCAGGATCACACCGCATATCATGCTCATAATGTTGCAATTGATGCCTGTAGTAATATTTTAAAAATCAGGATCACACCGCATATCATGCTCATAATGTTGCAATTGATGCCTCAGCTAATAATTAATCTCCATTTCACTGGAATCTTGGGGATAATATTTCTTCGCAAGCATGCAAAGATCAACTTTAAATGATTTGAAAGAATCTTTTGGATCCAAAGCAGAGCTAAGACTTAGAAGCTCTACTGCTCTATCGGAGAATCTTTCACTTAACTCCATCACTAGTGTGTTAACAACTTCATATAATATATCAAAGCGATAATGATGCTCAATTGTAATTTCATCACTCTGCTGACAAGAACGACCCGTGCCCTTCATATAACGAGAACTCATATCGGGTATATCAATTTCATGTTTCATACAAAATGATACTACAGAGTGTAGAAAATTTTGCCATTTGTCATCACCTTTCAACTCACAGAGAAGAGTTTTTGTGATAGAGATAGAATCCATACCAGTTAAAATATCTTGATCCTTTCTTTGCAGTGATTGACAAAGTACTTCTGTTACTCCCATTATTTCAACCATTAAGTGTAAGTTAAAAACAAAGTCAAATGAACCCATTGTAGTAAACCCACCACTAGCTTCTGCACGAATTTTTCTATTCAACCCATCTGTCTTTATAATACCAAGAACTTTCCACACAGGTTTATACAAACCAAGCAAACTACAAGCAGAAGAATAGTATGAGCCCCAACGAGTAGAAGCAGGTCGACTCAAAGTAGTTTGCTGATTACCTCTAGTACTTGTTTGTAATTCACCTCTTTCCATCAAATTTTTAACTTCTTTCCTTTGTGCAACTCTTAGTTGTTGATTCCGCTTAGGAGAAACACGAACCAAATTCACAATGCAATTTAATATCTGAAAGAATAACTCAATGATAGATAATTCCCCTGATGCTGCAACTAATGCAAGTTGTAAGCGGTGGGCAAAGCAATGAACATAGTATGCATATAGACATTCTTGCAAAAATAAACTTTGTAACCCACTCCATGCACCTCGCATATTGCTAGACCCATCATAACCTTGTCCTCTTATATTCTGTACAAGCAATCCATTACGATCAAGTATAAGTGAACATATCTTTTTGAGAGTTTGTGCGATAGTGTCTTCAACCCCTATTACATCAAAAAACCTCTCTCTAATAAAACCATCTACATCAACAAATCTTAACACGATAGCCATTTGCTCACAATTGGATTCATCTCGAGATTCATCAACTAAAATACAAAACTTAAAGTCATCAATTTCTTCACAAATCTTTTTCCTCACCAAGTCACACATAATTTCCATAATCTGATTTTGAACCATCGGTGAAGTATAACTAGCATTCCCGGGAGCATTTTCTAAGATAACCTCTGCAACTTGCACATTAAGAGTTGCACTATATTTGAGCAATTCAATAAAGTTTCCACGATTTGCTGAATCAAGAGATTCGTCATACCCTCGAAGAGCACATCCTTGACATGCTAGCCAACGAATAGCATTAATCGTAGTGACAACACGCAAGCGATTTTTCTTTATCTCAGCTTCATTTTGTAAGGTCAAATGTTTCTTAATGTTTTGAGATGGCTTTTTCAACGCATCAAGCATTAAATCATTTTTTGAATGTATTGATCATGTTTCTCCTTCATGCACTCGAAAATGACTATCTTTTTCTCTAGCTCTCTTCCAACTATAAATCCTTTCGAAGTCCAAGCTTCTTGTTTATGTTGTTGGGAGGAATTGCTCTCAAAAAGAAAACAAGGAAAGCAATAGGCACGGTCAGTTGTTTCAGAATATTCTAACCAATCATAAGTCTTGAACCAATCATATCGAAAGCTACGCCCATCTTCATTTCTTGGATATTCTTGGAGGTTTGGTTGGCATGGCCCTATTGCTATGTAACGATGTTGAACCTCATCTTGTTCTTTATATGGATATTTCCATATTGCTTGACGTAATCCCGGATCATAAGATACGGTATCATTGACCTTTTGAATTTTAGGAGAATGTTGCTCTTCTTCTTTATCATCAACCGTTGGCTCCGTCGAGGGTGCCTCACTTGAGGCTCCAATAATGTCATTTTTGGAATAAAATAAAAATAAAGTTTTCATTCCCTTTCCAGACATTTTAGCTTTAAAAATTTAATAGATTGTGATTAGGATATTAAAAGATTGCATGCATTAAGAAGCACATTAAAAGATTATGATTAGGACTGTCAGAGTCCAATTATGAAACATTGGTGAGTGATTCGTTAGAATATGATTGGAACAATGTAGTGCAATTCGTTGACAAAGTGCTAGGGCTATTTCACAATTCACTGACAATGTGATGGGCATGAAAAAAAGACATTTCCTTTTGGTTGTTTCGCAATTCACTAACAAAGTGCTAGAGCATGAAAAAAAATACTTCTGTTTGTTTCACTTCTGGAACACCTCTAAAGTCTAAACTATCCATGCCATGGATGCACCTGACCTGATGATATTTTCTTCTCTAGCTTTTACTTGATTGTAATGTTTTAAACTTTAGAAATTGTTACACATCAAATTTCAATGTGAAATTGAACGAATAGGTGACTGGACCCTGGTATTTCACATTTTTATATGTGGCTGCATGATGTTAGTCTGTTAGATCTATTCATTGCTAGTTGATTATTGTGTTTTAATCATTACCTTAAGACAGATTAAACATCACAAGAAATGCCAAAGCTTGAAGGAGGAACTAGAAAAAACAAGTGATACTGTGAGAGGTTGCTTACTCAAAGCCTGTGAGAGGGCTTGCTTTGGGACTTGGGAGGCGAGGAGACCAGGGGAGCCGGATCAGCCGGTGAGACTGTGAGAGAGGGCTCAGACTCAAAGCCTGACCAAGATCTCCGCCATTAAAATTTTGAAACCCTAGGCCTGGGTTTTTTTGGCCGCCCCTTTTCTGTTCTTGAATCTCTGCTCACTTGAAAAGTTGGAAATATGTAGGGGGGGGAATAAAAGGCAGGTGGGAGTGACGTGGGACAGTGGGGGCCGTGGGGGGATGCATCTGGCTGGGGGTATTAAAAAAAAACTTTTTCTTGCCCTGGGCAGCTACCCAGGGCAAGATGTATATAGCTACGCCCTTGACCATATCATATCGGTTATAGAGATTTGAGTTGTTTGGGTGGAAAACTGATTTCATTGATGAGTCCATTACAGCTTCAAACACTTACAATAAACTCAAACAACAAAATATAGCCTTTTTATAAGACTTTAAATCAAAAATTATAATTTTCTCTCAAACTACACACAATAGAAGTTTATCACCTATTGCTTGTGCGGGATCGTTGCCGGTGTCGGGGTTTATCCGTGGACCGCCTACGGATCAGATCCGATGAGCAGAAGTTTGGATAATTAATGCTTTCGCTTCACAAAGGAAGTGATTGTAGTAGCGGCGATTTTGACTAAGCAAAATCACGGCTTTTCTCGGGATTTAAGACTAAGCTTAAATCCGGAGGAGGGTGGAATGAGTCTCAGATCTCTCGAACTCTTGCTTTGTTGAAGAACTCCGCCAAGATCTGCTAACTCTCTGAAATTCGTGCTCCAATCTCCAATTTGACAGCACTTCGTCCTCTTGATTTTCAGATCTCCCAAAAATAAACACCCGAGCCTCTATTTATATGCTTGGTTGGTGGTTTTCTTTAATCAAAACGAGGGATTCTCTCTATCTTCAGTTAGAAACTGTCTAACAACAATATCAGAGCAGTTGGAACTCCAAATCCCGAAAGAATCCATAAAAGAACCGAAAAAACTAATTCTGGCCGATTCACCGAAGTGGCTCCGCCCTGGCCGAGCGCCGAGCCACTATTTGGTGGTTTGAACTTGGCCGAGCCACCATTTGGTGGTTTGACATTTGCCGAGCCACCATTTGATGGTTTGACATTGGCCGAGCCACCAAATGGTGGTTTGACATTGGTCGAGCCACCATTTGGTGGTTTGACATTGGCCGAGCCACCATTTGGTGGTTTGACATTGACCGGGCCACTTGGTGAGTCTTCTCGTTTTAAATGCTGACGTTTATCGCCTCCTCTTTGCCTCGAGCTGTATACGGGAGCTTATAGGCATTTTTGGACGCCTACATGAGTAACCATATTCGTATCTTAACGGATACAGTTACAGATATTTCCTCGGATATGGATACAGTTTAGCATCCCTAATGCGGAAGCATAGCATGGAACATTCTCAAATAATATAATATAACAAGCAAGTTGAAGATGATGTTGTACCAGATCCAGATCATAGCGACTATATCTTTTGTAGGAGGTGTTGTATCAATATGTATCTGAGTACCGTTCGTGATGAAAGCTTATCACGTTCATGTGAAGGAAGAAGAACAAAACAAATTACACAACCAAATGTACAAAGCAAGGAATAATAACAAGAGGAAGAATATAGTCGCAAGTTGGGAGAAACATCATTGAGCACACTAGGAGGAGTGATATTAATTAGAACAACAGCTGTTTAAGAGCACTTCGGCCCAAAAGATCGAGCAACATTTTTTGTCAGAGATGGACGCCGAAGAGTACGTCGGAGATCGACGAGAGAATTTTTAACCTTGCTTTGATGCCATGCCAAACCAGGAAATTGAGGAGAAAAATAAGTCTCATTGGTGATGAATCATGTTATATTCAAGGGTTTACATACAGATTGGGTGAGCTAATTAACAAGGAAGGTCCTGAGGAAGAAGTAAAATAACTGTAAACATCTACTACCATGCTAGCTTGATCTATTACTATATTTGACAATTTTAATTATATGTTAGTAGAGAATGTCTAATTAAAACGTTTGTCGTTGGAACAATTTGTTTCAGTTTATATTTGTAGCCAACCAAATAGCCCCAAAGAAATCTCAAGCTTGATGGTCAAATTACAATAATGCTCGCTAATGAAAAAAGGAATCAAAGAGAGAAAATATGTCACAAGCTTATGTGATGTAGAACACTTAGCAGACACGTTTATGTCAAAGTGGGACAGTCGTAAGCCCAAATGCGGGCCTGGTCGAAAAAAATAACTTGTTTCGAAGAAACGATTGTAACTTTCAAACCGTACGTCGGAATTGGACGAATTATATATGAAAATAGACTATCTCGATGACACAGAGCCATCCAAATCGCCCTTTGGGTTCGGTTTGCATTCTCAGTTTCGTCAAATTCCTTACGATTTGAGAGATATTTGCAGTTTTGTCCCTTTTTTACTATTTTTAGTAATATTTTAGGAGTCTGTTTTGTTTAGGAAACAAATCCGATTTGATCTCAGATTTGACCGGAGGACTTTCCTAATCATAAGGAGTCTTTTTAGGAGTTTTAATGTTTTAGGAATCCTTTACCATTTTTGGTAAGTTGAGAGTCCTTGTAGGAATTAGAGTCCTTGTAGGAGTCTTGTTTCTTTTTCTATTTAAGAAGAGTCTTGTAAGCCTTAGAGGCATATCTTTTGATTAATAAAATTTTGTTTTTCCTTAATATTTCTTCGTGGATTCGAAGATCGTTCTTTGTGGATTCAGAGAACACTCTTGGTGGATTCCGAGGTTACAACTTCCGCGCTGTGTCATTATGTGAATGAAACACAGCTTGATATATATGTGAAATTCAAAGTACATATATTGGAATAGGAATCATTTTACATTGAAAACGTAACATCACTTATTCTCTTATTAAATTAAAATGCAACTCTGCGAAGCATTATTCTAGTTCTTAAGAAGATAAGCATCCAAGTCCTTAAAGGTAGTTTGAGCCATCTCTTTGATGGTATCAGGCTCAGGAACTTCAGTATTCGCCTTCTCGTATTCAAAGCTCCCTTTCACCGCGCATCCGTCTCCTTTGGGGACAACCTGAAACGTAGCCTTGAAAACTTTGTAGAAGCCCAACAACTCCCCATCGATAACGCTGTAGCCTACGGTCTTGTTTGCTTCGTCGACAGTCTCGATCTTCNCATGTTATAGTTAGGCAACTTGGATGCAATTCTAGTTCTGCAAAAGGTAAAACTTGGTACCACAAAATTTACCCATTTTTTTCCGCCTGACCCAAAGTATTGTTTAACTGCTTTGATAACTTAAGTTTCAACCTCATTTCATTTTGATATCCACATCTAGATTTTATTAGATTTTACGTTAAATTTGTATATTGTGCTTAGCACGTAATACCCCGTCCACTGCTACTCCAAATGTTTGGTTGTCTGGATCCATTTGCAACGACTGTATGAAATCTATGTAGATGTAATGCAAATCTAATAGAAAAGTTACGTGCATCTACAATGCAGTTGGTACTTTGGAGTGTCAAGGTGTTAAAAAAATACCCAAGAGGTTTCAAAGTGAACAAATTGCAACTTTGGAGTATCAAACTGAAAATAACTAATGCTCCATTTTATAGGTGTTGCAAACAACCCGGAATCTTGAATTCCGATGCGAACAAAATTCAGTTCCCCGAGACTGAAAGCGTCCGTCAAACTTGAGACATCCTGACACAACAGAGGTTCTACGTTCACTTAACCCCACAATGCATGTAAGAACGTTACATGAACAGTACACGTCCAAGTTTCTTGCGGATTTGGATCCTTTATCTCTATTTTTAAGCATTAATTAACACAATTTTTTTGGCTTCGCAAAAAGTGAAAATAAGAGAAAAGCATATATAGGAAATAATATATGTGAAGCTCTAGATTTGAAATGAATTGATCATTACGATCGTTTTAAATATTAATAGGCGGATTTGATGTTCTGCATTGTGAATTCCTTTAATATTGCTTCCACAGTTGTTTGTAACTTTCGTAAGTCTCTTGTAGAAAATTTAATTTGTGACACTTGTTTAGGTCACCCTCTTTCAGGATTTGAGCTTACAAAATTGTACACATTTGTAAAAATATATTGAACTCAGTTACCTTCTCCATAATTCAGCTGCGGACGATCCGACGCTCTTTCATCTGCTTCACATCTCAATGATCTTGACTGCTCAGGAAAAATCTTAGGGAAAAGAGAATTGGAATCTCTTATTGCTCCCCAGAATTTATCAGCGGAGGACTTCAACGTCTCCACTTCCATTTCCATTTTTGAGGCCATTTTCTTCTTCTTTTTTCCTTTCAGAAGATGATGCTGATGAGTGATGAGAAATCAAAGAAGTTGTTACGTATAAATACTGATCGAGTTCAATTTGTGTTGCTTACCTGTCTCATTTAATAGCCATTCACCCAACTGCCATCTACTCAGTATACTAGGCTATTGTCCGTTGGAAGATGTCGGTGAAAATTAAATGGATGCTTCTCTTGTTGTTAAGGGTCTCCCATACTGAAATTAATTAAATTGGTATGGCACATTGTATGTAACTATTCTTTGAAAAGGTGCAAATTTAGGGCAACATCATTTTACTTGATCATTATGTATGGTCAAATTAGTGGCTAAAATCCATAGTTGTTAGCTTAAACCTAGCTCTTTTCAGGAAACAGGCTGGCTGGTGGCATTCATTGGGTCACATTTGCAGGTGGTAGTCAAGTGACTGAATCAATTTACAAGCTTGATATGTTTAATTAGCTGAGTGCTGCTACAAGGACCCCAAAATAGGGGACCCCGCATGGGACAGGTGAGGTGTCGCCTCCCTGTCCCGTGATGCACTGTTTATTAACAGTGCATCACGTGATAGGAAGACGACACATCACCTGTCCCACTCATGGTCCCCTATTTTGGGGTCGATCCCCGAGGCATTTTTCTAATTAGCTAGGGGAACTACCATAAATTTATTTCAGTGTATTATAATAAGCTTAGTAATTGAATAAAGAATCCCTTAAATGACATATTAAAGTCATATACTTGAGGTGAAGATACTAATATTTTGTATCCAGGTTGCTCTAGTTTCCGATGAGATGTTCGTTTTAGATTTAGACATTAATTTCTCCATCTCTCTCTTTCTGCGACTTCCATTAATTATCAGTAAGTTGATTAATCCTGAGAGTGGAGAGTGGAAGGAGATCGCTCATGGATGAGATTTTTTGGCCTTATCACGAACCATATCGTCACATCGATTAAGACCATACTCTTAGGGGCTGTTTGGATTGATTTTTTAGATAGGTAAAATGGTGGAAAACTGTCAAAAATGTCAGCTTTTTGGCAGCTTTCCCCCAAAATCACCTTTTATAGAGGTGATTTTAGGGGAAAGCTGTCAAAAAGCTGACATTTATGGCAACTTTTTACCTATCTAAAAAATCAATCCAAACAGCCCCTTAGTGTTTGCGCAGACCTCGTCAGATAAACTCATTTGGCGCTGAACAAGCTAGAAATATATAGGTTGTCCATGATTCATAGTGGTGCGTAGCATCTAACGTTGACATGGAAGATGAGCGTGTGTAGAAATAACGATAGAGGTAGCGCTGGTGCGGGTGTCGTAACTCGTAAGGGACTAAAAGCTTGTGTGGTAAGTGAAACTTTCAAACAAATAAAGTACTTTGCGTGGAGAGTTTTTCATGAATCGCCAGCTGAGGTAGTTGACGGGTGGGGGGTGTGTGGAAATATCAAGGTGAAACGAGTTAAATACGTAACAATTTATTCATTTCCTGTTCGTCTAGCTATTCAGTTAAACTCTGTGTGGTTAATATAAAGGTAAATCATTTTTTGGAAAAATTGTGTCAAGACCCCAAATTTAAAGAGTCCTTGTGACTCAGCCCCTCCTATTTTTGCCTATGTGCTTAAACCTTCCATTATTGAAAAAAATGTAGCTAAGCCGCTCCAGCTTATTATAGCCCAATATTATATGTATTTGACCCAAAAATCCAACTTCACCCCTATCCACCAACTCAAAATCACCATTATCTCTCCTCCATCAAAACGCCCCCTTCTTCTTCCTCCTATGTTCTCATCTCAAAATCCAAGCGCCAAAACCTTAACCCTAGCATTCTACCTCCTTCTCCTCCTGCTGCAATCACTCCTCCCCCGCCCCCCGCTTGACCTCCTGATCCTCATTCCCTCATCCTCTTCTCCTCCTCCTCCACACCCTTAGAAATCTCCTAATTTTGCTCCTGGAAGTGCAAAAACCCTAGGTGCAAGGGCTTGAAGAAGGCACTAAAGTTCAATGTCCAGATTTAGATTGAGGATTGCGTCAAGGAGAAGGGGAAGGTGTGGAAGGGGATCGAAGACCTACCATGGAAAGGCAGACATCAGTGGAGGAACCTCGATTATGAGATTTTGCGTGCCAAGCTGAGGAAGATGGCGCCGGTCAATGGCCAGATTGTGCTGCTATTTCGAGCAAGGCGCGAGTGCCTGGTAGCAAAGTTGAAGGCTTGGGGGCCAAAGCATGGTCCGAGGAATAATTGGAGGCTAGTGTTAGAGTTTGGGTACTTCAAGGTCGTTGGATGCAATAAAGATGTTTGATGAAATGTCGCATAAGAATTTTGTTTCTTAGAGCTCTGCTATACTATTAAAGTTTGAATTCATAAAAAGAATCATCTCAAATTACTATGATTTTTATTGTTTTATTTTGTTGGTCGTTCATAGGATACAAGAGATATTGTTAAGAGGATTAGTCTTTGTTTAAAATTTTATTGTACATAAGCTAATTTGTTAGGTTAGAAATTAAATGTAGCTTGTATGTAATGCGTTGGTAATTGAGAAATAAAATGCTACATATAAAAATGTCCATTTGAAATAATGGATATATAAATATTTAGTAGATTAATTATTAAGTTTTATCTAACACATGTGAACTATAGCGAATTAACTGTTAACATTTACTTGTTCCATGTTAAGTATAGTTTAGTAAGTAGCTTTTTTTAAATGTTAAGTTTAGTTGATTAACTGTTAAGTTTTACCTAATATATGTGAACTATAGCTGATTAATTATTAACGTTTAGTTGTTCTATATAAAGTATAATTGAGTAATTGTTAACTTTATAGCTGATTATATTTTAGTAGATTCACTGTTATATTTTACCTAACACATGTAAACTATAGCTGATTGATCGTTAACATTTACATGTTCCTTGTTAAGTATAATTGAGTAATTGTTAACTTTTGAGTTATGAGAGAACTGTAGTATACCAAAAAATGAGATCAGGATATTACCACCAATTATTACTAAAAGGAAGGGAGAAATAGAATAAGACTATATAATGTAAAATATCAAGTAATTATTAATATACATCTGCTAAAATTCACGAAGAACCTATTAAGGGTTGCTTAACTCGTAAATCGTTAAATTTTAACTTTGTTTGTTTAATTTTTTTAGTTTTAATAAGCTTGTAGTGTATATTTTACTAATTTTGATTAAATGTTTTCATATATAGTCATGTAACCTCTAATGTTGCAAGATTTTGAGAGGAATCATGATCTAAGAGGACCGTGAGATTGAGAGGACATTAAAACTAATGCATGATACAATTAACAATACAATTAGAGACCAACATTTGGATAATCATGTTTTTATGACTATTGTTAACCTGTATTGAATATATTAAACTAGTACATGATATAGTTGACAATTACTTGATATTAAATAGGAGCAAACAAAGTGCAACATGTATATAATATAGTTAACGTGATACTAGATATAGTCAACAGATACTTGATACAAGTAATAGATACAAGATATAGTTAATAACCAGTGTTCAAAATTTAACATACATTGTGCAAATTTATCAGTTACACTATAAACCTACATACATCGAGTAAAATTAACATACAACAGAGTCAAACGCAAACAGAAATTATTATCAATCAGTAAGGCCCAAATAACAATGCTCAGTACGAAGTTCAATAACAGTAGGTCTTTCAACTTAGCAACAAATCCAAGTTCATTCTCAAAGAAAAATATCAACTAGATAAAACACCTCCAAGTAGAGGAAGACAAGGACAAATAGCAGTAAATGTAAAGATAAAAATGATGGAATATCTTTTTTTCATAAGGGAAATCCTAGCTCCAACGAACCCATATAGCATTTCTCAAGAAACTTCTGAATGATCGGGCTATTTAAGGTCCAATTACAAGTGGAACAACCCCTTAAAACATGAGCGATCAAAGAGCCTATTAACATCAAAAGAGCTCAACCACCTTTGTTCTTTCATGTTCTCGCTCATTAACCACAATTATAGTGTTCCATGAAATGAAAGTTTTGTGACTCATTTCATCAAACAAGTGGTGAGCAGCCATCACGGTCCATGAATATGTCACTGTCATAGAGAGTTTAGAGGTAGAGAGGGTGTGGTCAAGGGAGGAGAAGATGACAGTGAGGTAGGAGGAGGAGATCTTGTCGTCACCATCAGAGTTGAACTTGTAGAAGACACACTTGAGGTTGGTTATGGTGGATGGGGAGAAGGGGATCGACAGAGGAGGTATTGGTGGTGCTGGAGGTGGAGATCCGGGTGAGAATTTGAATCGAGTATAGCAGTGATAGAGGAAAGATGAGATCTTGCTCGTTGGAGGAGGGGCGGGGGGACTGTATTTGGAGGAAGATTAAGGTTAGAGTTAGAATTAGGAGAGAGGAGGAGAGAAGGGAGGAGCAACCATGAAGTTAGGGTTAGGAGAGAGGAGGATAAAAGGAGGGAGAAGCAATAAAATTAGCGCCGGCGCCAGCGACGGAGGTTGCAGACGAGAATTTAAGGAGATGGTTGAGTTGGAAGGAGGAAGAGAGAGAAG